AATGAGTATGAAATACAAGCTGCCAAAAGCTGTTTATACAGGCCTTTTTACATTAGAATGTTAGTCAGACAAATATGGGAACAAGTGTTTAGACGGATAAGAAAGAATTTCTGTTACGGTTATAATTGAAGGTTTGTGCAGTGTATTTATTACTAATATAAACATCGATTTTATTTGAAAGTGTAAATATTGTTTTAATATATTTTAAACAATGCATTTGAGTACAACATAATTAACATTACCTTCTGTAAGCATTTATGGGTTGATTTTGCTTTGTGAAATGCCAGCACAAAAGATAGAAGTATTATCTTGTTTATTGATTGCAAGCTTTGTTTATATTTTTTGTTGTGATCTCACTCCAATGCTGCCATCTTGTGTTAACTGACATATATAAAATCAGTTTTAGAAGTTTGCATTTCTGTTCCCATAAATTAAATGTAAAGACCATTAGCAATTAAGGGGATAAAAGGATTCCCATTATATCAGTGTTTATGTAGATATTCCAATCTGCATTTTCTGAACTAAAGAGCTGATGGCGGTTTTTCTCTGCACAGATTTATTAATAATCTCAGTGCATTAGACAACATTTGTATACATATTGTCCACTTTTGTGCAAACATTAAAATGTATACTTTTATTGAATGATCTAATGTTGTTTTTATCATTGACGAGGCTGTACTTTATTGTACGATGTACCACGAAATGGATTTTCGTTAAGTGACCAGTTCTTGTTCTACGCTGTATCGATAAAAGGATAAAACGAACCTGGTTCATTACGGTGGTCCACACTCAATATAACAGCCTTCTTGTGTTGTTACTGATGATGTTATCAAAATAACTCTTGGGTACATCGCTTTGGATTTAAACTTCATGTATACTTGGGAGTAGACCAGGTGATTTCCACCTAATACAGTTAATTATTTATTTCTCTTCTTAATAGAAAATGAAAAAAAAATCGTGTGGCGGTGGGTGCACGTCAAATGACCAGTAAAGGCTCACCACGATTCCCATCATTACTTGAATTTTATTTTCCACAGGCTTTCTTCTATAAAACCGCAAATGCAACACAAGATCACGCTCTTCCTTTCAAGAAAGCGTGGTTTTTTGTTTTTGAAATTAATTTTATGTTCTTAGTGATATCTGGATTTTATTTCAAAAGAAATCAAGATTACCCACCCTATACGACGATTAATATCGGTAAAACGCTGCAATCCACATGCTTCGTTTGCTTACATGTACTGTACAAGCAAACTGATGATTGATAGGTATTGAATTCGAAAACCTTTACACGTTTATGTCAAGTGACATGATGCTCATTTGTGTAGAAATTGTTATGGGAGAAACCTGAAACAACCCAATTTAGATACCTTGATCTTTTAGGCAAAAGAGAAGGGGGAGCTGAGGGGCCCTGTCGACTTAAAAGTATATATCTAAAAAGTCATTGAAATATTACTTTGTGCGAGACCCCAGTTAAAAGCACACTCCATGGGTTTGAAAATCCCCAAAATGCTTATTTTTGCCACCCGCAGCTTCTTATAAAACCTTACATACACCTTAAAATGATTTAAGGGGATATATTTTTTCTGGAGCGTGCCTGATGTTGACATTTCCATTGGAGCTTATAGGGATATGATCGCTGTTATAATGGCTGGTCAGTCATTTTAAGATAATATCAACCTTTATAAATTTTATGAAAGGTCGAATCCAAGTGCAGGAGGGTGGGGGGAGAGACAGAGATACATAAAGGATTGGTGAGTACGAGAAAATTGCTTATTTTCCCGGGGAAATCCATTTTGGCGGGTAATTCTCATGGAGTGTACCTTTAATCTATTCGAATACGTAATTTTTGTTGTTAAAAAACACACCTGTTTAAAGGGATAATAACTGTTGATTTTGGCCAAAAAATTAATTTTCCAACAAAACAACAATTTTCTTTTCTTTCTGAAAAGTTTTGTTTTATGTTATAATCTCTTAAGAGATTGTAACAGAGTATAGCCATCAATGGAGGTCACGCGGTCTAAAGACAAGCTCAGATATCAAAATAATAGCTATACTGCCGTTTTTGTGGTAAAACAGAATATATCATATTTCTACGAGTTGTTTACTATGTTTTTATTGTGAAATATAGATCTCATACGAAGAGTTATTATCCCTTTAAATTTGCCAGTGATAGGGCCATGCGGACTCAAAATCTTTGGTGTCAAAGTGGATTTTGGTCCATCAAAACAGATAATGTTTTGAGAGATTAAAGTTACAAACGAATTTCAATTGGTATTTTTCCCAGAAAGAAGGCCAGGAAATCATTTAAAATGATCTTTATGCATAACCTCTAAACACTGTTCAGTCCACCATATTAATATCCATGAACGCGATTGTTCTTAAAATGTTAAAAATATCACGCACGGTGCCTGAGGAATGTGACACTAGATTACTTTTCTCAAAATATGTCAGTTTACTTTTAGATATTTCATAAAGATTAAATTATCTGGGAATGCAGGTGCAATGCTCATATGAAAGTAATTTTTCATCTTTTACTGAATTAGCATTCAGTGTACTGATAACCCGAAACCATGAATGGATTTATATGCAAAAAATATTCATTTGTTTCTGCTGCCTGGTATAAGTTAATTAAGGTTTTTCATGTGACCAACTGCTGTTTTCTTTCGTTTCGTAAAATCACAATAACGTGTTTTTCATTTCTCAGAATAACAACTCAGTTGATAACAAAATATGTTTTAATGTACTGAGGTGGCTGTACTATATAAGTCCAGTGTACTTTCAGTTGACTTACTACAATTCTCTACAATCAAAACAATCAAGCCCCCTCAGGCTACCTCGAAAATGCAGTCACCCTACGCTACATTATCCACATTTTGGATCAGTGTTCGAATACACACGTATTCAGTGCCTGAAAGACGTTCACCAGTTTAACGGACATCGGGCCTATCATAATTTTGGGGAGAAGGTATGTTGCTCAGAAATTTTCATCAAATTTGCCTGTACATTTCGAAGTCATTGCTTAGTACTTATTACTCTTAACATAAGATAAAATGAAAAACAGAATACTCAAAATAAATAACAGTTAATAAAATGTGTATGTTAAAAACATATTATAATCAATTATGGGCATCACTATCAAACGCCACCCCCTATGAACAAGTTGACCAGGAACGCCACCATGTGACCTGATATCACAGAAGGTATAAAAGCGCGAAATTTTGAAATTTCGTTCATTCAACGCACACAGATCTGGAGCAACAAGAAGGATGCCATGTACTGCGCACTGTATCAAGAAAAAAGGACACAGGAGTCGACTCGCATTTCTTCGAATCTTTTCTTCGTCCCAAGTCAACGCATCGCTCATCGACATTTTGTTTCTTGCACACGCAGTCGTCTGGACAGTGGATTCGACGTTTCTCTAAGCTGGCCAGCTAAAACCTTCGCTTCTTTTCACGAGGAATCGTCGCTCAGGAATCTTCGCAGGATACGTCATCGGCTTTATGCTGTTGTAGGCTATATTCTTGTAGTTTCATTGCATATATTTCTATGCATTCCAGGTTTCTTCTTATTATATACATAGGTAGAAAAATTTACTAAATCCGTTATTCTTTCTTTTAACAGAACTCGATTATGGCGATGCACGATAGAGCTCCCAGCTGCAAGGAGAAGAGGGCCACATCTACACTTCAGCTACGTCGGTCAATCCTTGGTGCCGGCGAGTCCTGCCATGGTCTGTCTACGAGGTGGCTGCATTGTGGGAGCGTTCAAGGCATGTGATGACTGAGATGGAAAAACTTTAAAGGTAAGCCTGACTGCAGAGTGCTGACATGGGTTGAAAAAGTCGTTAATCCGTTTTTCTTTCTGTTTACAGAACTCGATTATGGCGATTCTCGATAGAGCTCCCACTGACAACAGCAAGGAGAAGAGGGCCACATCTACACTTCAGCTACGTCGATCAATCCTTGGTGCCAGCGAGTCCTGCCATGGTCTGTCTACGAGGTGGCTGCATTGCGAGAGTGTTCAAGGCATGTGGTGTTTCACCGAGATGGAAAACCCTTTAAGGTAAGCCTGTATNTTTTGGAAGTGGAGTTTAAGAAATAAAAGAAATCTAATCTCGTTTTTATTTCTGTTTACAGAACACAACTGCAAGAAGAGGGCCCACATCTACAGCTACTTCGACCAATCTTTGTTGCCAGCGAGTCCTGCCACGGTCTGTCTACGAGGTGGCTGCATGGGAAAAGCGTCCAGTGAGTCCTGCCATGGTCCGTCTACGAGGTGGCTGCATGGGAAAAGCGTCCAGCGAGTCCTGCCATGGTCTGTCTACGAGTCGGCTGCATTGGGGAAGCGTCCAGCGAGTCCTGCCATGGTCCGTCTACGAAGTGGCTGCATTGGGAAAGCGTCCAGCGAGTCCTGTCATGGTCCGTCTACGAGTCGGCTGCATTGGGGAAGCGTCCAAGGCATATGGTGTTTTACTGAGATGGAAAACCCTGAAAGGTAAGCCGGGTGATTGGGAGAGAATTGGACTAAAAAGGTTTTTTTGAGTTGCAGTCTTTGCCATAAACTATTCATCTTACTGGCCATTCGGACCTAAACTTTCCCCAAAACTACTGGTCTGAGTCAGGATTCACTGGTCCGAATACAAATTTTAATAATATTGGACTGGATTGCACTTTTTAACAAGACCTTGACATTTTTAGAATTATGATGTAACAGTTACATTAAAAATTAAATCACATCAAAAGTTATTTTGAAAACTTAAAAAATCTTATGGTCAAATGACCAATTTAAAACATTCTGACAAATCTACTTGTCCGAACTATAATTAGTGTCAGTCATTGATTATACATAAAATAATAGACATTGAAACAGCAAAGGGTTGGTAATTCAATAAACGGTCTTAATAATAATTGGAAAGAGTTACCATTTTAGAGAATAAAAGAAAAGGAGATGAGACCCTGGAAAATTGCAACGTGAAAATTAAGCGACTGCCTGGACAGCAAGAAGTGCAGTGACCTGATAGTGCTGGGTTTGCCTTGGAAAAGCACAGAAGATGACTTGAAGGCTTACTTCTAACAGTTTGAAGTCATCATGGCACAGGTACTCTTTGCTACTCGTTAAGATCACTGATATGGGTTTCATGAAAGTTCCTTTGAGGTTAGTCTTTAATTCTAAACCAAAAGGATTAAAATGGAGCAGTCATGAGTCGTTACTTGTAACAAATGATTGCAATTTAGATCTTCTAATAAAACTAACAACTATTTAAATTGAACTGCTTATGACGCAGACTGCTTTAACTACACGATTTATGGGAATTAAACAAACTAATGTTATTTTTCCTTTCTGTTTACAGAATTCGATTATGGCAAATCCAGATAGAGCTCCCACTTTTCGTAAGAAGATTCCAGCCATGGTCTGTTTACAAGGTGGCTGCATGGGGGAACATCGGAAGCATATGGTGTTCCTCGGAAATGGAAACCTTCCATGGAAGCCGTAAAAGGTAACTCATGTTATTGCAGAGAATAATACACTAAAGTCATTGTTAACTTACAAAATTCTTGAGATAAAGCCCTTAGCCACATTAATTATACAGCTCACTTCCACTTCTTGAATAAAAAGATAAAATTAAGGTTAGTGGGTTGGGTAGGGAGAAGAGGTAAATAGGGAAACTAATGTCTTCGAAATTTCTGTTTTGAAGTTGAGGCAGAAAGCATTGGTGAGCGCCTGGTCTGATGACGGTCCATTTTCATAAGTTTAAAATGGAGAAAGCGATATCAGCATTTGCGATTTCAAGAGTCCTTGCCTAGTTGTAATATCACTGGAATTTAGGACCCTTTAAGGTAAGTTATAGGCCAGGGTAGAGAGTAAAAATGAACTTAATTGCCATTTATTCTCGGAAATGGAAACCTTCTAAGATATTGTCAAGATGTTACAAATCTTTTATCAATGCAAATTCAACAAACTGGACATTTTGTGCAGCCCCTTAGACAAAATCGTCTTAAATTAGACCGTCTCAATGTAGACATTTTTCTTTTCTATTTACAATTTATTCAACGAAATTCAGACATTTTAGAATCCAAAAGCTCATTCAAACTTAAAAAAAACTCGAGCAAAATATTTTTATATCCTATCGACCGACTTTCAGATCTTCATCAGTTTCAATGTGACACACGTGGCGTTGTCACTGGTCTTAGAATACCAGAAGCTACTACCCCCAACCTCGCCCTTGTGGTACAAAGAGGCAATCATACAGGTGAGCATGTATTTTCATCTGTTTATATTGTTCAGATTGTTAGGCGTTTTCGTAATTCATATTCCTTCCATTATCCCTCTTATTTTCTAGTCACTTTCTTTTTGTAGAATATTTTTGTAGAATATTAGCACTCTCCTAAATCATACTGTGGTTTTGTGTTATTTTATAGAAATAAAATAAAATAATCGTGTTAATACTTACTACAGATAACGAAAGCTTTCAATTACTTTTCATATTTTTGTGTGAAAATGTTACATTTCATTTGTAGGCTACGATAGGGCAGTTTTCCAGAAATAATGCCTGAACGCAGATTCCATCAATCCTAGCCAAAATGTCCAAGATGTGAAACACTTAATGGCGCTAGCAACACCGAGCCCATGTAACCACTTTCATTGATGATTGAACGCCCTAGCAGTCTCAGTTTTTAAGGACACGGTCTGTCTGCAAAAAAAAATTTTAGAGAATGTGGAATGGTAATGACGAGCAATATACTGAATGTAAAAGGAATACAATCTAATAATGTACTCAAGTATTTTATATATTGAGAATTTTTGAGCTTCATGGGTCACAGATATGAGTCGGGTGTAATTGTATTTAGTAAGTTTTATTTTTTTCACTTATGATAGTGAAACATTTTATTCCAATAGCTTAAGAGAAAACTGAAGTTCAGTATGATCATTCATAATTCCATAAATGTTCAATTGAATAAGATGAATTGTGGTTCTTTGGTTAAGTCTGCCTCTTCAGTTATTATTAAAATTTAAAATAGAATATCCAGTTGCTTTAACCACATTCTAAATGCAGCTATGTTTTCGCTCGCAAAACATTGGTATTACCACCACTTATGGTCGTCTGTGCTTTATTTCAATCTTAGTGATGTAGTTATTTTTCAAATTTGTGCTTTTGATGACTTGGAGTTGTTCGTCAGTATAGCGTTTGAGAAGATCATAATCCGCACACTTACCTCAACTAACCCTCACGTCTTTGTAAAATCCGACTTGATGTAAATGATTTTACATGAAGAGGTTTTACATTGATAGCTTGTGCAAAATCTATAATGAAATATTTTACGTTTGAAAAAATATTTCATTATATTTTTGTACACAGTCTGCTCCTCGTGAGGGATGGCTGGGTGCACACGGTCATCTCTCAAGACTGAGGATCGCACATTACTAATATTACTAATATTATGATTTTCTCAAGTGTTATAGTTGACAAATGTATCCAATTCATCATATATGCACCTTTTTTCCTCCGGACCCAAAAATTCATATTGAAATTTGCATAGGCGGTCATACAGTGTTATGTGAAATATGAAATATGTCGAAGCAAGCTTGCTTTATTCTTTACTTGTATCATATAGGTAGTTGCGATTTCAAGGCTAGATGAAGTTAAAATAAGCCTCAGTTTGTGTTAAGACTCTAGTAAATGTGCCTTAATTGTCTTCTGTACCTCTTTCAGTAGGAATTACATGTACTTTGGTAAATTGTGCTTCATCTTGTGTACCAGTATAGTGCATATAGAGAATAGTTTGTAGTCACGAGAAAGTTGATTCGGTTGCACCATGCTGTATAAAACGGGGCAATATTTATGAACTGTAAGGCGCCATGCCAATAATAAAACTGAAGTTATCATGTTTCAAGTATATGGGCGTGGGCATTTTCCCAGCATTCCCCACGAAGGGTTTAGATTGGTTTTTTCCCACGGCGCGAGGGCATCGGGTACTACCATTTATTGATCCATTGCATTTACATAATTCATTAATGATTCCTAAAGTACTTTTGAAATTGAATGTTACTGTATATAATAGTTGAATAAAACTTTATTCTCTAATTTTTCTATTTGTTAAAAAACCGGAAGGCGTGCAGATGGAAAAAAACTAATCAGATTTGCAAATTAATTTCAATGGAGTTGCATGCCTATGCACGCGGCTCGTTCAATTATCAGTCGAAATTTTATTTTCAATTTAAGATTTGGAGATTTCTGTTGCGTGGATTTCTTCCATAAAACTAGGAAATGTCCAGGTAGTAAAATTGATTTTTGGTTTTGGAAATAAAAGTGCGGTCTTGCGTAACTTTTTCTCCGGGCATAACTCGAGCCGATACCAAGATTATCCCGAGTCGGATTGGAGCCCCTAGAATCAACTACCTTACATAAATATATCCCGCTGTAAATGTAAGAACACAACATTTGATGTTAGTGAAGGGGTATCTTATATATAGGGGTTCATTTTATTGATTCACCCTACCCCACGAAAAAAAGCACTTTTTGAAATTCAGTGTGTTGACGGAACGATTCGAATTAAGCATTAAATAAATTAATTATAAATTAATATATTAACAATAAACTCACTAAATTAATGATGCAGGACTCGGATATTATTGATATGTAAGAATTTTTGTCGCCTGCTCGATTGACGGACCACATCTAAGATGATCTCGCGCCATAATCAGCTATGACTGTGTTAAGAGAGGCATAAATAGACGAGACAGTCGAAAGGTAAGATCGAAAGTAGGTCGATGGCATTGAAAATTACAGCCTTACAGGGCCCATTTTTGGGCACTTTTTACTCGTAGCAGAGAATTCCTGTTTAAATATAAAATTCGGCTGAAGATGACTTATTACCGTTTACATTCACACAAAGAAAACAAAACTGGATTTATACTGTGTTACGTTATATCTGTGTTACGTAGAGTCTTTTTAAAAACTTTTCTTTTTAAAATAGAGAATTTCAATATTTCTTCAAATCGAAAGAAATGTAAGCAAGCAAGTTACAAGTCGGTATAGAATATTGCGTTTATTAAAACCATTTGTCACTATGGGCAGTAACAATATACTTTCAACCTCATATAACTGTCTCCACGAAAAAACGCCCATTTCCCATTTAGGGTGCATGCATATTTCACGTGATAAATATATCCTTAAAAGGCAAAACATATTGTGACGTCATTGGCCCGTGCCGACGTTACCAGGTAACATAAAAGTTACTGGAGATATGCTGCGCGCAAGCGAAGTGATTACGGCGATTTTCTTTCGAGTAAAATAGACTATATACACGATGATAGTTGCGTCACATTTGGCCTTTTTAGGCATGAAATACAGTTACATGTATATTTTTCACAGAGAAACATTCAGACTCGAAAACGAGGTAAGATGTTGCTTTTTAGCAGAACAAAAATCGAAAAACTGATGGTACCAATATATCTGTGCATCAATCCCTTTACAACCATTGTTGCTTTGTTCTTATTAATCAAAATAAGATTCCATGGGGCGTCTTTAAAGTTTAGTTTAAGAAGTAATCGGGCCATTTTATTTTACTAATTTTGATAATTTCACTCGCCAAGAAGATTCAATTTGTCTTGGTAACTAAGAGCGAAGTTTCAATTATTTCATCTATAGGTATGCTCAGATAAAAGCAAATTTAAGTCTAGAGTTTTGCACTTTTTATCGATTTCCCTTTATTCAATGCTTAAGGTTCGGGCTCTTTTTTGGAAGGAAGACACGATGCTTCCGATTTTGGGAGGTGGAGGATTCGGTGCAGTATACAAGGTATTGAACTTATCGTGATAAACAAACGAAAGTGATACTGGGAAAGCTGGAGTAGCAATAACAGAAGCATTGGTACACACAGACATGACAGTTATTATGTATTTTTAGATATTTAAGCAGTAGCAGCAGAACAATATGTTTACAGTGATTTAGTAAGGAAGCCAGTTTATCTTTGCTATCGTTATTTACGGATGTGACATTCCACTAACCGAAATATTTTACGTTTAGTTTAAAAACGACCTGGCATTAAAGGTACCAACCTCCGAGGCCTATGCAAGGTCCATCTACAGAGAAGTTTCTTTTATGAAGAGGATAGACAGCAAATTTATCTTAAGGTTGTTTATCAGTTAAATACAAACAATTTAATATGTTTATTAATTTGCTTACATACCTATGAAACACGGGTGTCTTTTATGAAATACGCCAAATAATAATCTCTTTACCTCGTTAAAAGTTTGGCACTTAGATTATCAACATATTTCACAATACCATTATAATAAATTGAATGAGAATAAATACATACTGGACGGATAAAACCGTCATAAACTGTAAAATCTCAATTATTTATCATACAATGAGAAATTACTCTGTACAGGTTCAGAATCTTTCGTCAACCCGATTTAGTTAATCTCAGTCTGATATGAGAAATTTCCGTTCCAGACATGTTCACTCATTCGACTTACGACGTGGATTTCCCGTCCTGTTGTCGGAGTTATGTCCAATGGACCTGGACATTCTCCGGGAGTATTGGGAAACATTCTTGTAAGTAATAACATTACTTTCATTTCTTTAAGCAATCCTTTCATTTTTTTCTGATTTTATCTTGTTCGATCCTAAAAATGTCTATTTCATAAAAATGCGTTATCCAACAAAATGTTTTCCCCTGAATGTTAACAAAAATATCATACTGACAGTTGGTTTTATTTATTTCTTAGGGACGAAGTTCCTCTTCAGATGGTGAAGTATGTAGCCACTTGTGTCTGT